AATGGGCTTTGGGTCTCCACTCCGCACTCCCCCCACCTTACTTGTTTTAAGATTGTTTTTCTACTCATTGTAGAGATTTGGATTCCAGTCCAACTAGAGGTGGACCTGCCGGCCATGGTGCTTCCGTGGGTACTCACCACCGGGCCACTGGTTTTAAACCACCAGTCATAACGTGGGGAAAGATGCGGCTTTCTACTCGCCCGAGCTCACAGGGACAGGTCTGCCCTGTGACTTGATGGCAGAGTTGGATCTGGTTTAGAGGGACGAGCCTGTTCATGGTCCCCCTGGGAGCTTGCTGGACTTCTTGGATCTATAGATGAAAGTTTCCGTTTTCTGCCATTATTTCCTCAGATGTTCCCTCTCCTCACCCCACGCCCCGTTTTCTCTCGCCTCTCTCCCGTGCGTCTGCCGTCCGAGGGCGGGCGCTCGCGGTGCCCTCCGGCTCAGAGACCCTGCGCTCTGCATCACCCTCTTTCCCTGCCGGCGGCTGGTCTCCGCTGCTCCGCCCACTCTGCTGCGGAGCCCCGGAGCCCCGTAGCGAGCATCCACTTCCAGTCGTTCACGTCTTAACTCTAGAATTTCTAGTCAGCTGTTCAGTTTAAGAAAACATTCCTGTGTCAGTAAGGAGAAGACATTGTCTCACACCTTGTTACTTTATAACCCTGGTTTTCTTTGGTTCTGTGAGCATAGTTCAAGTGCCTGACTTGAAGTCTGTCTCGTGAGTCCAGCGTGGGGCCCTCGGGGACAGCCTCTCTGCTGCTTTTTCTCCTGTGAAGCATGCTTTCTTGTTTCTTGGCCTGTCTCTTGTGGAAAATGGAACATTTAAAGTGATACAATGTGACAGTAATGAAAACCAGATTCTGTGCCCCCCCCCCCATTAGCTGTTGTTGTTTGTTTGTTTAGTGACTTTTCGGAACTCATTCTTCTAGTCTGTTTTCTTTGTTGTGTGTGGCTTTTAAAATCTTCTTGGTGAGCACGCTGCCCGGCAGAGTTCCTGAGCTGCCCGGAGCCAGTGCGTCTCCGTCTGTGCTGTGGCTTCCCTTAAACTGAGGAGGGGAATCTGTCCTCAGGAAAGCTGGCGTGGTCAGCAGCCCCCAAAGCCGGTGAGCCCCCTCGGGCTCCTGCGGGTGCACATGACGCAGTTACAGGGGAAGCCAGCGAGGCGGCCGCAGCACCCAGGGCTTCACGCGGGTTAGAAATGGCTGTAGGGGAAGCCAGAAAGGGTGTGTGGGCCCAAGGGTGACAGGATTTACCGCCAGGCAGAGGGGGTCAGGAGAGGCATACCTGTTGGTCTCGGTGACCTGCCAGCACCTCAGGACAGGGGGAAGGCTTGTGGTGGATGGGAAGTGGTGAAAGGAACCCTTGAGGGAAACCCCGTCATGAGAGAACAGCCTGGGGTGCAGAAAGGCAGTGGGGGCTGCTGACGGGCTCCTTTGATCCCGGTGTTCAGAAGGTTCGGCTCACTGCGACCCAGGTGCAGCAGCACAGCCTGGTCCAGCCCTTCGTCTGCCTCACACTCGTTCTTAGGGTTGAGGCCCTTGTTCTCACCCCCGTGTCCATCCGTCTCCTCGACGGCCCTCCTCTTTCCTGCTGACCCTCCACTTTACCAAGCGTCGGGCCCTTCTGTTGTCCCCTCCTGATGACAGCCCAGAGTATGTGGGACCACGTTCTGGCTGTACTTCTTCCAAGACAAATCTCTTTCCTCTTCTGGACGCAACATCGTGATTCAGAAGCATCAGCCTGCGTCTTTTCTCATTCGCTGTCCAGCCTGATGCCAATACTAGAAGGGAGCAGAAACTGCTTCCTAAACAGACACACGTGGTTTTCTTGCTGGCAGGGAAGCTACTGCAAGAGAGAGGGCTCCTCGAGAGCTTTGTAACTCCCATGATCCCTTGCCAGGTCCCTTGTGAAGCTCCCCACCTTACCCCCACCCCAGGAAGCTGGGCCTGTGGCCGTCAGTAGCGAGACCTGCAGTCTCGGCTCTTCCGTGCCAGAGCCAGCCAACGTCTGACTGACTATCCGTGCCAGGCTGACTATCTGTGCCAGAGCCAGCATCCAACAGGCAGCATGTTCTCACACTGGGCCGCACCACTGTATCCATGCCACCTTCTAATGGGGTTTCTCCATTCCCGGGGTCCTCAGAGCCACTAGGAAGGGGGCATCCTGAGGAACAGGCTGGGGGACACCGTAAACACCCCGCTTGGTCACACTAGAACGGGCACGCCTTGATGATACACATAATGAAGTGAGGGGCGCCCATTTTCCCAGTGCCTGGCGAGGGTGGGGGTCCAGCCCACAGGCCCACGAAACGAAATCATCAATATCTTCCAACATCACGCCTGCACAGAACACATGGCTCCAGCTGTCACGCTCCTCAGTCAAGTGTGGACCAGATGCAGCAGGCTGGTTTTCCGTGAATGGCGTGAATACCCTACTGGCCCTTGGTGGGCAAGCGTCCCTGCCCCCGTCGGGGTCTGTTACCGGCAGTCAGCGGTAGGATGAAGGGGTTTGGGAGATTGCGAGGAAGACCAAACCAGGGCACAGAGACAGGTGAGGTGAGCACCGCTGCTCAGGATTGATGGACAGACGGACGGCACAAGGGGGCCACCGAGCCAGGATGACCGCTGTGCCTGTGTGGGGGCCCTGCTGCACCATGTACTCAGGCGGGTGTGCGGCCTCCTCACCAGGGGTTCTTCTCTTACCTCAGGGGCACTTCAGCCACACGCAGGGTCCCTAGATGGTCTGCGAGCAGAGTGGAGACGCCGCCCCGTCTGGAACCTTGGTGACTGGATACAAGCCACCTGCTCGGCCAGGGGCGGAGTGGACTCTGGCAGGGAACTCCGCCCCCTCCACATTCTGAGAAGCTTCGAAAGTGCCCTTGTTCCTCCAATGCTGGGGGCCGGGCTGAGGGCAGCCCCGGGTGCTGTGAGAGACCCTGTTTCTGTGTGAAATGCTCCTAAACCACGCTCACCCAACCGTGCCAAATGCCAGTGCCCCTCAGCCCCGTGTCTGCCCTGAGGACCGTGTGCACACCCCTTCCATATTAAATCTGGGATTCCCGACTTCCTGTGGGCCTTTGTCCTCAGTTCCCGTCCGTCCGTCCCCGTCTCCCTGGCTGCTGGGGCCTGTACGACACAGGTGGTGCAACTTTCCAGACAGTTCGGAAGCCCCTCGTGTGCCCCACCAGCACGTGTAGCTCGCTCTGCTGCCATCCTCCCTGCCCGGTGGCCACTCCCTGCACCACCCTGACCACTAGAGTCTTGAGGGACATATATTTCCCACTGAATTGCACCAAGATCTGCCCTCCCCTTGATGTAGCATGCCTTCTGTGACTGAAGACAAAACAAAACAAAATTCAAAGCAGGATATGATTCAGTCATGAGAGGGTTAAGCTTCCCAAACCAGATGAGTCGGAACCCCGTCTTATAGGCCTGTCCTCTTCCACCAGGCAGGCCATAGCAGGGGAGGGGTTTCCTGTGTGGACACTGGCGGCCCACCCTCTGTGGGGTGGTCGCTGAGCCAAGCTGCTGGGAGGCAAATGGGGGCGGGGCCCCGGAACTGACCTGATTAGAAAATGGCCCACAGCCAGCAGAGATGGGGTCGAGATCTGTGCCTTAGATCATGTCCACGCACGTGTGTGCTTTGTTAGTTATACTGTGTGTGTGTGTAAGTGTGTATGTGGGCATGCATGTCAGTGGGGTGTGCATGTGAGGGTTGGGTGTGTGCGTGGGGGGATTTACATGTATGTGTGGTGTGAAAGAGTGCACATGCATGTACACACGTGATCCTCCCTCTCCCCCAGGCCCCAAGCTCACACACAGGCCACTTGGGAGTTGGACCAACAGGAAGCTTGTTTTGGAGACTGCGCCCCGTGAGTCGCTGCAGCCAATGGACTGTGTCAGACCTGTGTTCAGATCCCCCTCCCCAGGAGGTCTGACCAGGGGGCCTGCAGGCAGCCCTGTCATCTGAAATGGGGACAAGGACCCTCCTTGCTTGCTGACATTAGTGTGATGGTCACAGCACGTCACAATTCCTCTGACTCACTGGGGGGTTCAGCCCCCTCCTTCCCACCGCACAGCCCCACCTCTGGGGCAAAACCTGAGCAAGGTCTTTGCAACAACACAGAACGCAGGTGCAGCTAGAAGCAGCAGATCACCGTCCTGTGAGGAAGGTGGCCGTGGGCACTGGCAGAGTCAGCATACCCAGTGAGCTACTGGGTGGGCACAACCGCCACAGAGCATGCTTAGATAAGGTTGCTGGGGTGACCTGGGGCAGTGACCAGAGTGGCACCTCTTGGTGAGCTGCTGGGTGCTTCACTCCGTCCCTGTACCCCCCAGGGCCCCCTGTTGAGTAAGTGTGGGGACAGGCCTGTCGCATACACTGCTGTGGAGTCTTGCATTCCAGAGCTGCTCTTCCTGCATCCTGGGGAAGCAAGCACAGCGTCTTCAGGCCACTGGTTCGCCCAGAAGCTGTGGTCACGTTCTGCTCCGGTGAGGCACAGCCCCTCACCTGCAGGGCATCGTGTTGGGTCCTCACGGCTGGCAACAGGGCAGATGCTTGTTCATTGTAGAGAGAGCCTGGGCAGTCTGCCAGTGGACACGCTCACCCACTGGCCCCAGAGGCACCTTGAAGGTCTGGCTGTCTTTCCTCCTGCCCTGGGAAATCAGTGGGGCACAGTCTCTGCCTCGTGGGATCGCGTGAGGTGGGGGTCTTCATGGCACACAGCTAGTGGGACTTGGTGGTCTGTTTTCTCAGAACGTGGAACATGCGGAAGGGAAATAAAGACCAGCATTGTCCAAGGACACCACTGTCGTCCCAGGAGGACCACCACTAATGTCCCAGGTCACCACCAGTCACTGGCCTGCCAGCCTATCCAGACTTGGACACCGTATTTTTGTGCATGTTTGGTAGGACAGGGTCTCCCAGAGCATCCATAATCCCAGGAAGATGTTTGGAAAGGTCAACAAGCTGGTCCATGGTGCTGACTGCTTATCTGAAGTCGCGCGCCCCCCCCCCCCCCCCCAATAACCCCTCCATCTGAGGAAGCCGAGTGCAGGGGGCCTGGGCGCCTTTTTCTAAGTGGCACATGAGAGCCTGAGGGGTGCCTGGCAGGCTTAGAGCAGCCGCACTCTTCACAGAAGCCCAGAACCTGCCAAGTGATTATGCCAGCACCGCGGGTCGTAGAACGGATTCGCTAATAAGCAAAGCCTGCGTCTATTTCAATAAGCAGGGCTTTGCCACACCCACGACAAGCATGAAATGTGATTATCTTTTAATGTGCTTCATCTTTGCCTTCCTGTCAGAAGGGGGGGAAATGCATCTCCTCACCCCCAGAGGGGAGGGGCTCGTCATTTATCTGTGTGTGTACCTCCAGCAGGTAAGGTTCCCACCCATCCTTTCACGGAGCCGGCCCTTCTCTGTTTGTGGGGGGAGGGCCCCCATACCCACACGTCCCTTCTCGAGTCCACAGAACCATCTGGAATCAAGATCAGCAAATGTTAACAGAGATATTAAAGTCAGCCGGAATGCATCACCTTTCAACATGAACTTTATTTCCATGTCTGTTCTTCACACCTTTAAAAATGCAAACATGTAACAATCTGTGATTGTTGAAGTACAGAACAAAGGGAAACAGGAAGTTGCTCATATCCCAGTCGCTCAAAGGTAACATGCCACCTTTGGCTGCGTGGGTGTGCAAGCACTTCCGGGTGAACACACCGAGGGAAAGCACAGTGCTGCCTCGGGTTCCGATTCTCACGCACTTGGGCTTATTCCCAGCAAAACGGGCTTTCACACGGCTGCCCTCGGCGGATGGCTGCGGACAAGCTCTCAGAAGACACCTGTCTTAGTCTCACGAGGTGTATTTCCAAAATAAGAAACCAAACTTCCAGTTAACAGTGGCTCCCAAGGGGCATCTGTGGGCCCATACAACTCGAGGCGGGGAGGTCAGCTGGGAAGACTAAGGCACCTGGTGCTGGGGTCCCAAAGGGGCCGTCTTGGCAGAGTTCTCCAAGCACAGTCACAAGAGCTAATGGTTAGAGAGGCGTTTTAAGGAAATTGAGAAGTGCAGGGGTGAGGACAAGTCCGGGAAATGTGCACAAGAGACTCCCCATCACAGACAAAGCACCTGCTGCGTCTTCAGGGGTGAGGGGCTGCCTAGTGCCCTTCCCCACCCAGACAGCTCCGGTCCTGTCCCTTCACACACTCAGTACATGAGAGGGAGCAGGGTGAGTGCCCCTTGATGACAGCAAGCTTGCTGTGTCCGTGTGTCCTTACGTTAGTCCAGGCTGACTAGAGAAACACATCTCAGGACACTCATGTATATATAAGGAAGTCTTCTATCAAAGAGTAATGTGTACTGAGACATCTCAGTCCAGATCAAGTCCATACGTCCGATGATAGCTCACATGTCCGATACGAGTCCATAAATTCCTCTTTAGACTCACCTAGCTAGTGTGTGCAATGATGGTGAATGCAGGAAAATCACAGGCCAGTGGGTGAGAAGTCTTGTGGATCCAGTCGGGGAGGGGGAATCATCTCAGCGCTGGCGTGGGCCTCCATGTGGCTCCTCCAGCTCCATGGCTCTGGCATCTGTGTCTCCATGTGGCTCCTCCAGCTCCAGGGCTCTGACATCTGTGTCTCCATGTGGCTCGTCAACTTTAAGGTGAAGCCAATTGTGGTCTTCCTCCCACGAAGAAAAGGAAGGTTCCCAGAAGCCTCCTGGTGGGTGTTGCCTGGTGACCTGATGGGCCGGCTGGACTCCACCCTACGTTCTATCAAGTTGACATGAAATTATGTAACTGCCACTGTTGTTAACTTAGGAGCGCAGAATACTCCCGAGGGGAGGTTAGAGAGGTGGAAAGGCTGCCTCCCAAACTGAACAGCCGTGTATTGACATCTGCTTCATCCTGGTCTCTACGATGTGGATTGTGCCACAGGACCTGTTAGCTCTCTTCCGTCAAGCAGATGCACAGACACCCAGTGCTAACATCATGCACATCTGTCCACGACAGTAGACGTCACGAGTAGCACCCGTGGACTGGAAATGCCACAATATACCCATGCTTCCGCTTCATAGCGAGCACTCCGGTTTGACAGCTGGTCCTGGGCTTCCAGCAAGGTTCCCTTCCAAAGGCTCCCTCATGAGTCGGTTTTGACATAAGCTTATTTATTTGGCTTTCATCATTCTTGTCTTTTAATATCTGTGGCTCTATACGGACAGTTTTTGTCTTCGGACCCCAGTCAGTGATCGTCCGAGGGTGACAGCAATAGATCATGCACGGCAACATTGTATCCAGTGCATATCAGTAATCACCGACCGTTCACCAAGGGAGCAAGGGCCGGCCCTCAGTGTGGCGGCCGTGGCAACGCTCCTGGCAACGCTCCGCGGCGTGTCTCAGAGATGACCTGGGTTTGGCTTGCTCTCTTGCTTCTTGGCTGGCTCTGCATCCTTGTTGCTGTCGGGGACCTTGAGTGGATTCCGAGTCTTGGCGACTGTGTGAGTGAGGCTGGGTCGCCGGGAGAGACAGACCAGTGAGCTCACATAGGCATGACAAAGCTCTTCTGTCAAGACGGCAGCCAGTCCATCTCAAGTCCACGGGTTCGAAGCTAACCAGGGCCCAATTCAGCCTCCCGGAGCTGCAGGGCAATGACTCAGAAAGGGGAAATGGGGCAATCACAGGCCGGGGATGCAGAGCCTCATGGACCGAGGCAGGTGGAGACCAGGCAGGGTGTTCACTGTCAGCTCCCCGGGCCCAGGGCCGGCATGGGGCCACCCCTGGAGGCGGACACGGTCCCAGCAAGGAGGGCAGGTCGTGGGCAGAAGAGAGAGAAGTTCTCACACTTAGACGAAGGACACCTGGGAGGTGTCACCAGGCTACCACCTGATTGGTGGCGCCATCAAGCCGGCATCATAGCACCCTATGGGCAACGGAGCAGAACACCGCCCCGTTCTGTGCCACCCTCTCAACCATTGGTGTCTGCACCCATCTTGTCGTCATACATCCTCACACATGAGCTCTCCTGTAACGTGTCCCCGGTACACCCAGAGAGAACCTGCTGA